ATATCAAGAGATTCTGAAACTTTAAAATCTTTTCCTCCATTATCATTTTTCAATGTTTTCTAAAATTCAAAACAATATATCTTAAAACCTAATAAAAAAAACGGATGAAAGTTGAGATATGTATATTAGTTACTTTATTCTAATTTAATTGTATTAAAGAATTTTACAAAACATTTTTAGATCTTATTTTATAATTTTTTTACAAATAAATACATTGAAAAATAATCTGAAATTTTAATGTTAGAAATTATCAATATGTTCAAAAAACACAGCAAAAAAGCAGAATATAATTTTAAATATGAACTTTTTTATATTAAATAAAAAATTTCAGTTACAGCAAAATTTAAAATTGTCACTTTTTCAAAAAAAAAAAAAATTATGTTTTTGTTAAAAATGTCTCATGAAACCTTAGTGCGTATATTCTTTGTATTTTCACAAGCGTACTACAGCACCAAAAAAAAAAAAAAAAAAAAAAAAAAAAAAAAAAAAAAAAAAAAAAANAAAAAAAAAAAAACCCAGTACAAACATTTTTAGAAGAAAGTTTCATAAAATATTTCCTGTTCTCTTAATTACCTTTTTTTATTTTACTGCTTGCGCGTGCTGTGCGTATTTTGTTAATTCAATTTTCCTGAACTGTTAGGGCAAAATAATATTAAAAACATACAAATACTGAATAAAAAAAAATAAAAAATAGATTCACACAGAATAAACTAAGGTTGGGGAAAAAATTGGTTTTTATTAGAAAATAATAAAAAATTTTTTTTCGTTTTAAACCTTTTTCTTCCGTTTAGATTAAATATAAAATAAAAATCTGTAAAGCATAAAATATGCTTAATATTTTATGTATTTTCTTCTTCTCCTATCCTTTTTGTAAATTTTCAAGTTAAAAGCATGTTTTTTTACCAATACCACATTTATTTAATATTAATCAATCAATCCATTGTAACCTTACAATTAATGATATACAATGAAAGTCCTGTAACCAATTAAGTGTAATAGGCCAAACAACACTTATTTCTCGGGCCGGTATAAGTGAGGTATAATATAATAATATACCCAGTAGCCGGTATAATACACCCAGTAAGCTCACACCTCACGGCAAAAGTAAGTAAAGTAAACTGGCATTTTAGGTACGATAACGACAAAAGGTGAGTAGAATCTGTAGAATAGGGTCCGTTATCGTTAGTTTTGAGGCATTTCAGGTTGTTAGGCCTTTTACACTTAATTGGTTATAGGACCTTCATTGTATACCATTAATTATAAGGTTACAATGGATTGATAGATTAATAATGAATAAATGTAGAATTGGTAAAAAAATGTGCTTTTTACTCGAAAATGTTAAAAAAGATAAAAGAATAAAATCCATAAAATATTAAGCATATTTTGATAGAAAAAAATTCACTTTTATTATTCTTAAGAAAATTGCAGATATTTTACTTAGAATATTAAAAAAATTAAAATTTTATCATTTTGCTATAACCTAAATATATTTTCTGGAATTATTTATTAACTTTTTTAACACGTTCACGCCGGGGTGATCCACCGGTGTGTCACGCTAGATTGTCTCATCTTGGCATCGCACCGGAGTAAAAACTGGTAACAATAAATTTCATTTTTTAGTTTTTTTCCGGGAATAATTAAAATCCATAACTACCAATTGTTTTTAACGGATGCAATTTCTATATTGAATTGCTTCTTCGCCGAGATAAATTTCCTTGCAGTGAATTGTTATTGTTCAGAATAGATTAACTCCTCCCGAATATTATCTAATATTGAAATAGTTCTTCTACTAGTATTTTCTCTTTTCCCGTATCAGTATTTTCACTTTTCCCGGCGTGACCGTGTTAAAAAAATATCTCTTTAAAATTTTATTAAAATTTTTAAATAAATATATATGTTTAATTTTTTTGTTGCTTTTTTCTTCTTAAAATCATTTTCCGATTTTTAACTCCATATGTATTCTCCATTTTGAAGTATAAATTTTCGAGAAAATTCAATACTTTTTAAATTAAAAATTAAAAAATATTAATGCCTATGACCCTAACAACCCCTTACAAATCAGACCCCCCTTTAGAAATAAGAAAAAAAGAAAGGGAAGATATTTCTACGCAAAATGATACTTCATCTTCGCAACAATAATTTATCAAAAACAAAATGCGTGCAATTGTGACATACTATGCATAAAATTATGAGTTAACAGACTTTTGATTGCACAGACCGGGGCCCCACCTGCAAAATATTTTAAACCCTTAAAACCTTTCACCCCCTCTAAAAAAGGAAAAATACTCCGACGCAAAGTGATATGTATATCAATTTCGCAATGATGAATTATGAAACATAAACATACTTAATATTGCGGCATAATGTGCATTGAATTCAGAGTTAAAAAACTTTTGATTGTAAAAACTGGGCCCCACCTTCAAAATGTTTAAAGCATACGGGCCTTTAAAAATTAGCTCCTCTTTCCCTAAAAATTGAAGAAGGAAAAAAAACTTCTACCCAAAATGATAATTCAACTTTACAATAATGAATTAATAAACAAAATCATAATACTGCGGTATGATAATTTGAATTAAATTCTGTGTTAACAAGCTTTTGGTTGTATTAGCCTGGCCCTTACCTTCAAAATGTTTGAAACCAAGAGAATCTTAAAAGTCAGCCCACCCGCCCCCTCCCTTTAAAACGGAAATAAGAATAAAAGGAAAAATATTTCTTTGCAACATGATGCTTCTTCGCAATGATGAATTATGAAACATTATGTAATAAAATTTATTTCCGTTTAACATTTTAATGGCAATTATTAATTTCTGATTTATATTTTAATATTAAGCAGAAAAAAGTGGAATATTTTGTAAAATGTATACATCTTTATCAACATTAATTTAAAAAAATTTAATAAGCTTTAACTCCTTGAAAAAAAAACGTAATTCATAGTATATTTTGCCCAATTCATTGGCATGCACACAGTACAGGTCGGAAGGTCTCTCCCCCCCTCAATTTATTTTTAAGAAAAATATTTTAAAGCTGATAAATTTTTTAATCTTTAATCAAAATTAGTTAAAATAAGTAGAAATCAAAACAATAAATTATTATGTTGTTCTTCCTTTTCTTCTTATTCAAATCTTTCCTAACTTATCCGTTTTGGCTAATGTCAAGGTATTTAACGACTTTTTAAAGAGAAAAGTAAATAAAGGAATCGCCACTATGTTTCTCAGAATTCAGGACCCTCCAAGAAATTGCTTAATTGATCAGATCAAACTTCAAAAACGTTTAGGTTAAACTTGAATGGAAAAAACACAATATTTTGCAACTATTATTGAATTTTCTCACACATAGTTTCTGGAGGGGGACGAAGGGGCAGTTGTTTTGAAGATAATTTGTTTGAAATATTTTGGGAGGCTCAATCTTCTTTTTCCTGGACTATATAAATGGATGTATTGGCGATAATTGTGGCTCCTGTACAGCTAAAAATTGTATTTGAGTTGAAAACTTTAGAAATGTATTTCATAAATTACAGCAACATCTCGAAAGAATGAAATAAGTTGAACTAAATCATCTGATTTTTGCTGTTTTTGAATTGGTTATGTAATGAAAAGTAGTTACATAAATACTTATATCTCATAACATATCATAACAATGTACGCATTTCAATATTTTTTGCTGATTCGAAAGATCATTGGTTTTATAATGTGCGATAATTTTTTTTTAAAAATAGTTTTCGCTTATTATTGTGTTCTTGAAAGTTAAAATGCACTTCTCAATGGAAAATGTATGACAAACACTTTTGTTTCAGGGAATTTAAGTATTGATGAAATAAAAATTAAACACGTAAGACATTTTTGGGTTGCGATAGTTTAAGCAACGTTTGAAACTGTTTCGGCAGTCTAGGGTTGAGGGAAAAAAATCAAACATATTTTTAGAAGCAGAACAAACTAGTTTCCTGCCATATATATGTTTTATTGATAATAATTAAATGAAGAACTAGCAAAACTAAAATTTTTACAATAAATTCTAAAATAAACTATGTCGACTAATAACTAAGTGCTTTAAAATTAAATATAAAATATTTAGCTCATTAAATAATGCTTAAAATTTTTAAAAATTTTTTTAAATCAAACAACTAAGCAAAACCAATAGCGCTTTATTAACATTTCCAACAAATTGAGGACATTTCATTCCTTCGAGGGGCCTCTAATTCATGTACAAAGGTCCCAAACTCCCAGTCCAACCTTGGCTACAATTGTCAAAATTTCATAATTTTTGATGGCTGCAGGTGGCGTAGATCAGAAATTCTCTCTAAATATAGATATATGGCAACACCTCGCATGCTAGAGTCATAGAAGAAGGATTAAAACTTTTAAGTTATGAAACTACATATTGAACAGGTGAATGACTATGTTGAAACTGATGATTATCTATGTTGAAACTGAAAACTATGTTGAACATAGTTCTGTACGAAAGCGAAGTTGAAATTAAAAAAATATATTTTTGATAATAAAATACGAAAAATATTAAGGTAGGTATTTTATTTACGTCACACTAGAGCTGCACAATGGGCTATTGGCGAAGGCCTAGGAAACATCCCAGAGGATGATCCGAGGACATGCCATCACAATTTTGATTCTTTGCAGAGGGGATGGTTCTCCTGCTTTGGTAGCCCGACTACCTGCGAGCAAAGTCGAGCACTTTACGATAGAACAGTTTAACGAGGTCCGAAACCGCGCACTCTCGATCCCTACGCAGGCTGATCAAAGTGGTCACCTGCCCGCTTACTGACCGCAGCCAACGATGCTACTGGGAAACGTGTCTTTACGATCAGTCTACTGCGGGACGAAAAATATTAAGTAAGAGGAAAATATCGCATTTCATTCCTATACAACTGAGAAGAGGAAAGGGTCAAAACATGGAATCGATCTTCTCCCCAGATGGCGTATTCAAGCGTAGCGATCGCTAATAGTCCCCAGAAGCTTGAAAGAAAGAGACAGGAAGTTAGTTCTACTGACACAATTCCTGATGAGTCTGGGGTATAGATAGCCAGAGGGTGAACCGGTTCTGTTTTTGGTTGGACCTTCATTGTAAGAATAACGGTACTGAGAGAAGATGCTGCTCTTCTGCCACGTGTTTTTATTCCTTTATTTATACTAATGGAACAAAGTAAGTTACTCTTTGAAATTATTATTTTATGTGTCTTTTTATAGAGCATACCACCCACTCAAAAAATTTCCATCGCCCCCTGACAAAACATAAACAATACATTTTTTTTCTCCAAATTTAATTCGTTTATATTTTTGTTAACTAATAAAAATCAAGTATATTTTAATACTGCCTTATTAAAATATACCTTATGACCAATTTATTTATATTGAAAACGTTTTTTATACCAATTTTAATAAAAATAACTCATATGTAAAATTTTTAAGTGTTTGCATAAAAATAAATCCAACATATCAGTTTAACTTAACAGCTGAATTAATTGTTATTTTTCTTCCGTATTATAATAAATGTGAAATAAGTGATGGTGTTTATAAATGTTATTAGATCTGTGTTTTTAGTACAGCTAACACTGAGTGATACATGTTCCGGAATCAAATCAGATAATTGGAAATCAACAATTAGATATCAATAATTAATTTAATTTTAATTATAAAGCAAACATACAAAATTATTAAAAAAAATAACTTTTTTTTACAAAATGAGTTAAAAATTCAGGAATGAAATCTTTAAAAAAAATGCAGTTTGGTTAAGTTAAAGAATAAACCAGCCGCAAGTTCATTCGAACAAAATGATGCTGTTCAACATTATAATTGAGAAAGGGGTATCATTGCTATCGTTAAAAAGAGCATTTTTTTATGACAACAATTTCAATAACATAACTGGCATTATATGTTGAGTTAGACACATAATTAATTTTTTGATACCAAATCAAAAAAATTTATGAATTTTTAACATGTACTCAATACTAATTTCATTTATAGTTTGTTAATTACCCTTTAGAAACCCCTAACACCCCTTAAATACTCAACATTTCGCTAGCACTTCCCTTAAAATCTTTGTCGCACACTGAAGGGTGATAGCGCTCATGTTTGGAGCCTGCGCTATAAAACAATTTATTATTATTTTTTCTTCTTTTTTCCATTAATGTCCTTACAATAATAGCGATTCAATAGGTATCCTTTTGGATAATCTTGCATTATTTATTGAATCATTTAAATGTAAATTTATATGGATATGAAATGATTTGGATTGACATTGAAGAATTTCATAAAGAAATTCTGTTGGTTACAAAATTTTCCCTATGATGCAGCTCAATGGACTCGAATTTATTGTAGTTATTTAAATAATGATAGTAAATGTGCCTACATATTTTGTTAAAAATGATGTAATAGACATTTTGAAGGAGTATTTGAAATAAGTCATTTCGCTGTAATGACTGGAGCAATAAATTTATTGCACAGAAATACTAGTTTTCTTCAAAAAAAAAAAAAAAAAAATTACGGAAATTTAAAAAATAAAAATTTGAAAAATTCGTTTATAGGACAAAATTCACTATCAGGGGAATTCATTGCAAAAAATCTAAATATTTCGGTTGTTAATAATAATGTACTATTGCAATTACTAATTCCAACAATACTATGAATTTCATCGATATTGGATAGAGTGAAACATTATTTATAACGGACTTCTTGCTGGATTCGTAGATGGTTCCTTATATGATCAGATAGTATTCATTATCATTTAAATTTCAAATGTCCCCTGGAAATGATATCGACAGACGGAAGATAGGTATATGAATCGATATAAGAATCAGGTTTTGCATCACTTTAGCAGAGAAAAATAAAATAATTTTTGATGCTCTTCTTTATTTATTTAATTAATTAATTTAATTAATTTATTTATTTCGTAAAATGATGCGTTTTGATACACATCAAAGAGTTTTTTTCCCTATAAAACAATTCATCTTTTAAATGATAGCAGGAAAATTGATTAAAAACTGAAATCGTAATATATGTGCAAATTCAGAGCATGTTTAAAAATTGTATCAACACCAGACAAACAAATAATTTAGTTGCAGACCATTTGTCACTCACGTATCAATCATTGTTACATTGAGTATTCATGAACATGACAAGGGAGAATAACTACCTTACATTATTGGCAGAGACAGTTTTTGACTTTTTTTAAAATATCTCACGAAATAATTAGAGATTTAACTAAAGTGGTCATGCGATTTCTCATGCAAGTTTCAGAGACCGGTAATAAATTACGAACGAAAGCAAGTATCTTTAAACACCCTTTGCCATAAAACATAGCAAAAAGCTTGTAACTTGAACCGATTACTTAATTATATAAAAATGTCGTAAACCTAGCCTAAATATTTATGGATTCATGCACAATCTCCATAAATACATATGGATATATAAAAAGTTGATCTTTTTATCTTATGTTTATTTCCTATAATATATAATAATATATATATATTCAATGAAATCAAACGAAATTTTAAAACAATTCCAAATTAATTACAGAATTATTATTTTAAAATTTAAAAAAAAAATTGATAAAAATTACTCAAGAAATGAACTTTTAAGGTATTCCTTTCAACATGGCGCATGAGCGGATAAAATTTTTAAAATATTCCTCTTTATTTTCAAGATAAGTCAGATTATTAAATACGATTCATTACAAAATTATGAAAACATTCTTTTAAATTTTAAAATAATAATTTTTCTAAAATATTTCCTTAATTTTATTGAACATTTTTAAAGTGATATAATATACCTGAAAAACGAGAAAATTCATTTTTTATAAAAATGTCCGTATTCCCATAAACATTTAAGCTAGGTTTACGAAATTATGTGCAATTCTTGCAAGTAACCAATATAAAAGTTTCAAGCTTATTTCCATATTTTCTGGTATAGGGTGCTCAAAAGTACTTGCTTTCGTTCATAATTTATTGCCCGTTCCTTAAACCATGTAAAGCTTATTGATGAATATGAGTAGTTGTATGGTTAAAAGACCTCTAAGGTCTTAAAATGATCATTTAAGAATTCTTTAAGAAATTTTAAAGAAAACTGAAAGTGCCTCTTCCCTTATTGTAAGTACAGCGGGCAAAAAAGAAATAAAACACCCCGTATGATGATATGATTATCCAATATAGCTCTAGTTGTAAAATTATGTGAACTACTACTTAAATCAGTCAATAATCGATTTTTTCTATTAATGATACAAAAATGTCGCTTTTCCTTATCAGGATAATGTGACGGTGTGTCCACTCCGATTTGTTGAAAGATGCAAGGGTGAAACTTTTTCATGTGACTGAAAATATTTGATTGAGTTTCATCGGGAATGTTATTCCGGTTAAATTTATTTCATTTTCGAAATTTTTGAGACACGATTTATATCGTTCTGTGCACCTAAGAAAACATTTTTGATGTTTAAAACCACTCTACGCTTAGCTATTTCAGGTTGTAGAGGAATGTAATTAGATCCATTTAAGAGTGTTGCAAGTAGATCCGTTTAAGGGTGCATATTTAGCGGTGTTAATTTCTAAATGATTTATTTCCTTTAAAACCCATTCACTCCCCCGATCCCCAAATTCATCAAAAGATGATTTAATTTTGACGCAATTTATTTTCTAGTTTAAAGATTCACAATCTAGTGAAATAGTGTTACAACTTCTGAAAAAAGAGGTTCTTCCTCACCGTCTTGTCCAGTTCGGGAAAAACGGCTTTTACTACTTAGTGCCACATCTTTACTTAATGTCTGCATTTAAATCTTCTATAAATAACAATAAATCGGTATTTTTAAGACTAAACAGAAGTTGTGACAGAAAACCATCCAAGTCATGAATTGCTACGCTGATCTTCTCCGGTTGACCAACATCAATTTCTATTCATAGACGTTTATTATTAGACAGGACTATTATTAGACGTCAGCAAATAGAGGAAGGAAACACTGTAAAACGAATAAGCTTTATTAGAGTTACAATTAATATTACGAAATCAAAAGATGATTTAATTTTGTCACAATTTATTTTCTCGTTTAGAAATTCACAATCTAGTGAAATAGTATTACAACTTCTGAAAGAATAGGTTGCTCCTCACCGTCTTGTCCAGTTCGGAAAAAACGGGCTTTTGCTACTAAGTACCACATCTTTACTCAATGTCTGCATTTAAATCTTCTAAAAATAACAATAAATCGGTATTTTTATGACTAAACAGAAGTTGAGACACAAAACCATCCAATTCACGTATTGGTCACTGATCTTCTCCCTTTGATCAACATCAATTTTTATTTCTAGACATGACTGTTATTAGACTTCAGCAAATAAGAGGAAGGAAACACTATAAAATGAATCACTTTATTAGAGTTATAAAATTAATATGAAGTAATGGAAATTAAATTTATATTACTTATTTTTATTATTTTATCTATTAAAGAAAATTTAAATACAAATTAGTGCATATTTATTTGTTTATATATGTAATATTTACTTTTGTGATTTTACTTTCTAATAATCTTATTATATATTATACACATAAATTAAAAATAAATAACTAGATGTTTAAAGTTTTTAATGAAAAAGTGGAAAACAATTATAAGCTGAGAGAAAGCTGAAATATATACATTAAAACTGGGATGATATCAAACTTCATTGACATTTTTCGTCAGCTGTCATCGTCGTATAATGGATTCTGGTAATCCATTGGCACTATTGGATACTTTCAATGTACGTCAAGATATAGCGATAATCATTGTTTACCTTTAAATCATCAATATCTATTCCACTAACCTTTACCCGCTCAAAATTAGCTCTTACACTTTCGTTAAGAAAGCGTCTACCCCTCAAAAATTTGTAGGTAGCACGGGATCATTAAATAAATCGTGCAATTGCATTCTGCCAGAGAGAAAGAGAAATAAGTGTTACCTTATGAAAGTACACAGTGAGAAGGAGAACAATATAAAAATGAAAAACGCATTTTATTTTTAAATAAAGGCATCATAAAAAATACACATACTAGCAAAATTAAATAAGTTAATGAAAATCTATACACATAAGAGCATTATGAAACGAGATTTAAAAAAATAATGGAATACAAAAAAAATACTAAAAAGGGCACTTCGTAAAGAAAGAAAAAACATTGTTAACTTAAAACATTCTTAAGGAATTTGAAGCTATAAACATTTCTTTGGCATTTTGTAGTAACATAGCTACATCTAATTTTTTTTTAAAAATTCTGCATTAATGTCATTTAAAATATTTGCAATTATTTCCACAAAGTTCCGTGACATTTATTCTAAATTGATATCGAGTGTGGCTATATCACCACAACTCGAAATTTTATGTTCATGATTATAATGTCATTATCGTCTGTCACTGTCACTCAGTAAGACATTCGTGTCTCAGCGGATTTTCATAATTAAGCACACACTCAAATGTAGATATCACTTTCTCTACGATGTTGGATTTTAAAAGTTCAATCAGCGATGTGGTCAACACTGTCACTCAGTTAAATTTGAGGAGGAACAGCAGTATTTGGATACTTTTTTACTTCGTTGAGTAACGACTGAAGGAACACATGGTCACCTCAATTTTTCTAGATGAAATTTTCCTTTGAAAATTTCCTTTTTCCCTTAAAAATAAAAGAGGGAGGGAGAGAGTAAAAAAAAAGTAGGGCTAGGTGTATCAGTAGTGTTGAACACTCATCCATGTTAAAAAAGTGGGGTGTAGGAGTCGTGGGGTGAGGTACTCATTTTTCCCCTACTACAGAGTGAGTGAACGTCTTAGTTTCACACAGCAAACGAATTTTTAAACTTTAGGTGTAATAAAAGACCACTTATTTTATTTTTCAAAATCGTTTCAGTTTTTAAAATTTTTTTTATTTTTCTTTTAAAATCGTATATAAACTGTTACTTTGCATCGTGGAAAACGCAAACGACAATATTATAAAGAAAAAGATAATTTATTTGTTTTCATAAAAAAAATCACTATGCCACGCGGATAAGGATTATTCGGCCGAAAAGTTCGAATAATTTGTTTTTTAAAGGCCATGGAAAGTCGATAAATGAAAAGTATTTAAAAAAGAAACAACTAATTGATATTTCGTAGCAAAAAGCAACCGATTTTAAAATCCTGACAGCTGCCTCTTTTAGCGCCACCTTTATTATTATTATTATGTTATTAATAATTTGGGTACTTCTGAAGAATGCCTCAAAAATTTAGAACAGTTGATTTTAACCTCCTAGAATTACTAGTTGCCCGTAAAAGAAATTACAGAAAATCGAAATTTTTTAGCTTGCGTTAAAAATGCTGTTCTATCTCTCTACTTTCTGTTCTATTCACCTATAGGATGAAAAACTTTTCTCTATAAAAGCATTGTTCTAGAATCATTCATTTCCTGCCTTATTTCATATGTTGCTAAGAGGATTATTTCATCAGAAGCTCCAGCATCAATTACTCAAGTAAGTAGAATTATTTATTAACATAAACTTTAATTTAAATAATATGAAGTTTTCTTTAAATGGACATAATTGATTATTAGTTATAATTTTCGACTTTCACTTGCAAGACGTCAGTGGCGATAAAAATTTCTTTTTCAGCATGAAGCGGTACTTTTTTTAAAATATGGCAGCTTTTAGAGAAATAGTGTATTAAACTCTTTGTGCTCCAAATTCGATTACTTCAGCTATCGTTAGTTAAGAAAAATTAGTAGTATTTAACACGTTGAATGCCACGCTAATTTTGCGTGGCTTGCCCGTCTGGCCAAACTGTAAATGACTGCAAACTAAATTGCAAATATTAGACAGATTTTGCTGGTTTTTGTTTAGCATGACATATCTGAAAAAAAGTGGTGAATTATATAAGCCTACGAATTGTTTAGAAATAGTGGTGGATAAAAATCTACTAAATTGAATTTATTAAAGCAAGAATCCCAATTAATAAACTACCACTTGAAAATATTAATTCGCTGTTCGGAGCAAGTTGGCATCTCTGTGTATATAAATAAGACTATTTTTATGTGTTCCATATTGCATTAATTTCTTTAAACCATTTTAGTAACGATAATAATATTAAAAAAATTACAAGTTTACTCGAATTATGTGTTTCTAATAATCTTGGCTTCACCGGTGACCCCTGTGGCGCTACGAACAAACTCAGTGCCGGTCACCGATGACCCCCATGGCATTCAACGTGTTAATAGTTTCTCTAATTCGGTTCAACAATGAGCGAGAAAACATTTGACTAGTGTTATCAGTGTGTTCACTATAATATTAGTGGCATTATTTTCCAAATTCTAATTTTGTCCCTTTAATTTGAACTTGTCATAACCCTTTTTTTCAACTGATTAAAGAGGTAAAATCGTAGCGTCGGAAAATATGACTCCCCCCCCCCAATGACTTTACACAACTTTAGCATTGCTGAAATTTTTTTAAAGATACAATAATTAGCTGTTTTATTTATAAAAGCTGAAATTATAAAATGGATTATATATAATGTATTATCGCGCTCACAAAAGTGATATCTTAACCATTTAAAGTTCCCTTTTTATAAAATAATGGTTATTCGATTCTAGAGTTTACGAATAAATTTTTTTTAATTGCAAGTATTAAGATCAATCAAAATAATTTTGAAATAAAACTTATAACTACAGTTATTTTCATGCAACGATAAATTACTTTAGAAATATCATCTACGTACTGAAGAATAGTACATACAAAAATAAACAAATCTAAAGAAAACGTAACGCGTTATAATCAGGATATAAAATCATCAAATTAAAGAGGAAGTAAGAAATTAATTCAAAACGAAAATAAATGGACATTTAAAAGTACTTTGTTCCCAATAAATGAAATGTATTAGAAATAAAAAAACAATGCAGTTTGATGGACAAGAGAAAAATGTAAATAATGTTGATAAGTTAATTTTTGACGTCATCTTCCAATTAGCAATTTAACATAATAAGAAAATTTCAATAGCAAAAATACTGTGGGAATTTTATAAGGAAACTGAAACAAGATTTTAAGTCTGAACGATGAGTAGAAATTAGTGGATGGTTGCTAAAATTAAATTTTCGCATATTTGCGATTTTAAGAATTATCAAGGTTTATTAATTTTAGATAAAATATAAAGATGTTATAAGCATTTTGAAACGGCTAGGTTTTGAAGTGCATTAAAACTATGCAGTAATTAATGAAAATAATATTATATAAAATTTAATTATTCTCTTAATATTCAATACATAGAAATTTATTCCGTAATTTTTAGGAGGGAAATAAATATTTTTTTTTGAAAAGGTCTTTTTTCTAGTCAATCTTAAGTTATTATAAATTTTGCACGAGATGAACAAAAGATGAGTAGTAATATTTCTGTAAATATTTAATGTCTTGCATATATTTTTTTAATGCAAATAAACAAAAATCTTGAAATATTTATTAGCTATTATTTCCTGAAAATTTTATTCTTCATTTAAGTTAGTATAACTCAATTTTTTGTAAAAAAATAATAAATAAATAAAAAAGAATATTTGACAAATTTTTCTTCTTAATAATTAAGTTAAGGGTAATTATTAAGTTGTACATAATTTTATAACTTTTTAAAATCTTAGTAAGTCAAAACATAGATTTATAGTCCCTGGCCAAATTATTAGACGATAAGACAAATTATTAGAATTATTAGACAAATTATTAGAATTATTAGACAAATTATTATAATATATTTAATAATCTTAATAATATACTAATACAAAAATCTTAATTATCAGGTGATACTATACAGCTTTATCGTTTTTACGCGACTGAAACCGGTTTGCACTTGCTTACGTTCGTATATTAATTCGCTAAATTAGATGACATATAAATATAAATTCAACGATTGGATAAATTAGACGATAGATTATATAAATATAAAATAATTATTATATCAGATATTATAATTGTATATTATAATAATTAGGTCAAATTATTAAATGCACTGTAGTGTTTTAATAGTTACATGTTTTGCACGAGTTTATATGCAATACTTTATTATATAAAAAATTCAAAATTACAAGGCTACGGAGTAGAACATTAGTAGTCATAAACCAAAATTGTGTCGACTGTTCAACGACGTTTATAATCATATAGAAGAAAGGACATAGAACACACAGACAAAGTTAGATGCATGCCTGCGATGGGATTCGAACCCACAAACACTGGCCTCGTAGACCAGTGCAGTAACCACTAGACCAGTGATTGGCTTAATATTATTATTTAGCATATATTATTATGTTAAGGAACCTCTACTTAAGAGATGACCTCTCACAGCTCATCTCATAGTTGTCGACTCAAACACATACCTTCTGAGTTTTCTTATTTCAATAAACTATTTTTAAAACGAAACATATAAAAAACTTGTGATTTTACTTTTTATTCTCATTTAATTTTTTGTAAAAGTAATCTTCCTCCCCCCAAAAAATAGATATTGGTGAAAAACTCAATAAACAACATTTAATCTTTTAGAAATACTATTAAACTAAATAAATGTTATTATTTTTTTCAGTGATTATTTCGCATTTAAAACTCCGATGTTATTTTTATTTCCGCAAAAAATGAGACTGTAGATTTTACTTAATTACAAGGCGTTTTCCACACCGTTTCTGAAAATGTACAGCGATTTAATTTTAAGAAATGTCAATTTCGTTAAAATCCCAATACATTGTAAAAACTGTGGTGTAATATTTCTCTGAATATGATGCTGAAATAAATAATAAAATAACACAAATAATAAATTTTGTTATTTCATTTATAATAGTCGAAAAAATTTTGACTATATAAAATTTTTTGACTAGGCAAAATACGAAATTTGAATGAAATAGTTCCTGAGTAATCAAGTTTTAAAGAAATTGCATATTTCAAATTCGGCTATTCTTAAACACAAAATGGTAGAAAATGAAAAATAGTTATTTTTCCATGAAATTTTCTTTGCATAAACAAATTTTATAATTGTATGCAAAGATCTTTCGATTTGTCCAAAACATTCTTGAGATATTGTGAAATACACAATAAATATAATTAACATTAAAGAGCCTAAACTCCCCTGACCCAACTGTAGGGACCATATTTCCCAAATTTCAGCTACCCCGCATATTTTGAGGGCCAGGAATCTATCAAAAAGAGGGTATGTTTATGCAGAGAAAGCATGTTTTTGTGTCGAAACCTAAAACATCCTCTGCATTAATTAATTAAATAATTTTTGTTTACCCCCTCTAACCATTAAGATGGAATCCAAATACGAAAATCCGATCATTACATCACGAGTTATTTAAGGTTAATAATTTTTCTTTTATTTACATCGAAACTTAAATCATTCGCTGAATTAACTAGTTCATATTAAACTAGTTTCCGAGGTATGATATTCTTTACAACATTAATTAACAATAACTTAGAAATAAAATAATTTTTGTAATAAAAGAAATGAAAATTTTCACAAATTATTAAAATTCCCAAATTGCAGCTATTAAATTTATGATAATACAATGTCTACTTATGAAATTGAATAAAACTATAATTGTGTTTCATGATTTTTGATTTTATTAAACTACTACATCCAAAAATATTACTTTCAAAACTTATTAATCTCAGGGTTGCCACAGGCGACTAAAATGCACCTATTTGCAACTATTTTTGGCATGAGGCGACTATGGCAACTTTTTTTTTGCCTGAAAAGGCTAAAAGAGCAACCGTTTTCAGGAAAAGGAGACTATTGGGAGACTTTTCTGTACTCCTAGCGATGTTTTTTTTTTAGCATGACTTGAAAATCTGCGGTCCACGATAGTTTCTGAACAAGGTGAACTTTCTTTTTCTTAAAAAATAAAAAATTTTGAAAATTTTGAATTGCAAATTTGAGTCTTCACTTTTTAATTCGTTCAATCTACGCAGATTCCATTGTAAGTCTATTTCGTTTCTCGATTGCCTTTTCAATGGTTATATTTCAATGGCTACGAAATTCCGCATGGTTTAAACAAAAACAAAAAAAAAAAATTTTAAACGATATTACGATGCGTGAATTTCGAATTTGACTAATCACTTTTCACAATATATATATATACATATACATATATATATATACACTATCGGTCAAAAGTTTGCGAAAATTTTGAAATCTGCAAAGAAAAGGTCTAAATTCAAATGTTCATACAACTGCGAAAAATCATTCAAATGACATGAAAACTTGATATGTTCTAAAGTGAACCCTCTATTGTTAGTTACATATGATCAAATTGCAATACTTTGTTTTTTGCGAACTGAATCCAGCTTTTCATCACGAGTTGTTTCTATGGTGAAAAAAGTTGTTAAGTTTGAACACTTGCCAAACTTGCAAAAAATATTTTTTGTACTTTCTGTTAATAGAAAATAGTTATTTGAACAGTTCTATGTAAGCCCTCAAAATTTCAAATCGATTCAACTTTTTTTGACGAAGTTAT